GACGTCTTATCGATGACGACTTCAATATAGATTACGCTGGAATAGCCCCTCACGGCTACCTACCAGCTTAAGTAAGAATAAAATAAAATCCTCCTAAAACAAGCCGTTGTTCAAGTATGTAAAAAAGAATAATAATATGCATCTGGCTTGGAAGTCACATGTTACAAGTAAGGAAACAACGTGACAAATTTGAATTTAACTGAATATTACATTAAAACTTGTTTATTAAACACATCTGTTTACGAAAGTATTGTAATACAAGATAAATAGGAGGAAATTCCCATTCAATTACGTCATAACTTAGCGATTGTTTTAGGGCAGCGTTTTTTATTTTTCTCGGCCCACAGAAGCTTTTTATTTTACAATAAGGAGTAAATTTATTTTAGAAAAATATTCGTTAAAATATTTAGATAACAAAAAAACCGACGTACGAAAAATCCGTTGAATTTTTTTCCTTGGGAGACTTTTATGAAGAAATATATGGTCCGCCATTTTATTCTTTTTTCCTTACCTATTTACTGGTAGCCTAAGGGGCTATTCCAGCTCATCGCGGACGGTTAGGTGAGCTCACAGGCTTAACCTAAGAGAATTTGCTAACACTAGCCCTGGCAAGAGCAGTGCATCGCAGAATCTACCACCGTATCGGATTAGCGACCCACTAAAAAGATCATAGGTCAGGTCATTCTATTTTTGTGTATATGTCAATTTAAAATTAGGTAGTATGCTCTTTTTAACATCTGGTGTTTCTATAAATAGTTATCCATGTGTTTATCTTTACACATTCAACAGCTCTAATCACTGACCATAAGAATTGCTCCAAGGAGTTTCTCCTATTATAGATCAACTAGAAGTCCGTAGCCACGAGACAAGAGCAGGAATCCGCTTTCGGATGCCAATTATCTTCAGATTTGTCCATTCCTGTTTCGACCCTGGATTCCGGAATAGGTACACAAGTCGCTAACTATAATAGCCGGCAAACTTCTTGAGCATTTGTTGACGTAGTGGGGGTAAGTTCGCGCATGGTACACTCACGTACATAAACATTACTTACTCTGCGTCATAATGCTATTAAATTATTAAAATCAACATATGTATTTATTTATATATTTATTAGAACATCAACAAAACATATAGGTTAATAATTGTAATAATTTAATCTTGGGGTAAAATAGATATTCCTTCTATTAAGTCAAAACTAGAGCTGTTGCCAGGTCTTGGTTCAGTTGAAGCGAAGCTGNACGGTTATCCATATATGTTTATCTTTGCACATTCAACAGCTCTAATCAATTGACCATAAGAATTACTCCAAGAATTCTCCTATTATAGATCAACTAAAAGTCCGTAGCCACGAGACAAGAGCAGGAATCCGCCTTCGGATGCCAATTATCTTCAGATAGGTCCAGTCCTGTTTCGACCCTGATTTTCGGAGTACAGAAGTCGCTAACTACGAAACCAAAAAGGTTCTAAAGTATTATGTAGTACCAAAATGAAATTTTCCACTAGTGGTAGGACCTCTTGTGAGTCTGCACGGGTAGATACCACCACCCTGCTTATTTCTGCCGTGAAGCAGTAATGCGTTTCGGTTTGAAGGGTGGGGCAGCCGCTGTAACTATACTTGAGACCTTAGAACTTATATCTCAAGGTGGGTGGAGCGTTTACGTTGTAGATGTCTATGGGCTCCAGTAACCACTTAAGACCAGGTGGGCTGTGAGCTCGTCCACCCATATAAGCAATAATAAAAAAAGGAATTCATAGAATTACTGAGGTATATAGCGTAAAAGTCTCCAGACTTCCTTATTGTCCCCAGACTCCCAATATTGACCTTCTGGTCAATATTGGCATTTCAACTAGGAAATTTATAGGTAGCTAGAGCTATTGGCTTAGTGTAATTGCGACTTTGGCCTCATATGAGCAAGAACATTTTAGAGTACATGAGCTGAGTATCAGAAGTCTAGCAACACCGAAATTCAACGAACTTTTTAATTATTCAAGAAATGTCAAAATAAAACAATAATCCAGTATGTTCATTTTATTCTTAACTTTAATGCAGACTAGAATAATACTCTTAGAAATGAGAACAACAATAATTTCACATATTACAGTGTAACTACCACGAGCATTCACGATAAAGGCTATTTTTTTTATTAATTTATTTATTATCTGTGTTTCATAAATGTAAATAAAATCTTATTCACAACAGCTAGCAATATAAAATTACGTTATACATTATTAACCTTTTTAGCTATATTGGAAAGGAAATTTTACAAGGAGCTTGACCAGTGAGTTCTTATTAATTTATAATGGTGATATTTAGAGAGAAAACTGTTTAATAAGTTTGGTTGTTCCGGATTGAGGGGGACAGGACGGCTGGTATTTGTCACAAATGCAACTTCCTCCTTACGTCGCAATGTAGGTGGCAGTACTCACGTCGTGATGTCTATGGTCTCCAGTAACTGACCTACAAAGTTTCTCGCCGAATCTTGTCAGTGAGTCGCGACTCCGATCCAATTATAGATTCAGCGAATTACTGCTGTTGCTATTGTTGAGCCTCCGAGCCTACCAACCCATAAGAGCTGGTATAGCTCTTTGAGATTACCAGCGATTAGACAAAAAACTAACTACTTTACACCAGTTGGGGGATGAATTCTCGTCCCTTCCTTCATCCGGTGGAAAAAAGTGAATTTTTTTTCACACATATTGACATATATGTATCTATTAAAAATCGAGTTACTCCAGCATTGTCTTTGTGTACATCACGATTTATTTAGACAAACATTGGAATCGAAAATCTAAAAATAGAAATCGGTGAAGTGTTTAAAAAAAAACTAGAGCTCACTGGTCGAAATCGCAAAGAAGAATTGAATCGAAATATAGATAAAGTTTGAACTTTCGAGGAATGTTCATGAAGCGATTACAAGGGGTACATCTAAAGTCGTTTACATAACAATCTCGTTTAAACTCAATCCGTATCGATTACGAAATATTACGAATCGATTATTTATCGATACATTTTATAGAAATACTGTCATTAATAAATTTTATACATAAATATAGTTTACTCGTCCTCAGAGCGCTAAGCTTAGCTAAGAACACAGGATTTACATATAAACGTGGGTTACATATTAATGCTATAGCAATACTATAAAATTTACAAAATATGATATATTTTTTTCTTGAGTTGCTACTTGAGAGTTCCCATATATAATTCTATACGCACTAGTCGATTCATTATTTTAATTTTTCCGTTGAAACCGCGGGAATTAAAAAAGAAAAACGTGAACAGATACCTCTCTCTTTCATTAGCATTGTAAATGTTATAAGCATGAAAGAGATAATTTAATTTCAAAGGGCCTTCCTTAAAAGTACATATTACGGTTTCGAATACATTTTGAACTATGGGTGCATATTTTTTTATATAATAAATTCATTACATAAAATGGTGTTTCATTCATTCTTTTGTTTTTTAATTAATAATTACATTAAAGTAGTTAGAAAGCATAGACAATAAATAATGGAATGATCTGGTGAATTAAAACTAAAATGAAATGGCAATTACGCAAGATTCAAATAATCGAAGACTACGAAATCCCAGTCTTCTTCGATAAAATCTATAATTAATAAAAATGAAATAAAAATTGCTTACGTCTAAATGGCAAAACAAGTTTATAAACAATGACATCGTAATCTGTCCAATGTAATATTTGCTGCATTTTTGTAAAATTAAAATAGAATATTACTGTTTTTTAAAAAAACAAACTAAATATTTTTTTCAACATTAATAAAGCAAATTCGTTTCTGAACTTGAATGTACAGTTATCAGTACAAAATACATTCTAGGAAATATTAAATTTGTCCATCTGTATTTGGCTTACGAAAAAGATAGAAAGAAAAATGAACTTTATTTTGATAACGCATTGAATTCTTTTACAATGGCAAACTTTTTTTTATTTTGTTTTTTTAGTTCGTGACTAAGATATTGGCATAGATTTATTTACGAGTATGTGTACTCCGCGGCTATACGTTTTGTTTTTAAAATAAAAATGAATTTTTTTTCTTAAATCTGTTTGAAATGGGACCTCACCCTGTATTCCAAGTATGGAACTATAATTATAAAGATACTGTAAATTCGAAAGCATTTGTTGACGGTTTCCCTTTCCCGCAGCAATGGACAGTAAACCTTCGAAAATTGCGGAGTACAACAACTCGTTATTATCCATTCATTACTGCTTTATTAATTATTTTTAAACACTTTTCCACTGTGAAGGAATAGCATCGTGTAATAAAAATGAAACCTGCAAAATTATAATTTGCGTAATTACTGGTGGTAGGACCTCTTGTGAGTCCGCGCGGGTGGGTACCACCGCCCTGCCTATTTCTGCCGTGAAGCAGTAATGCGTTTCGGTTTGAAGAGTGGGGCAGCCGTTGTAACTATACTGAGACCCTAGAACTTATATCTCAAGGTGGGTGGCGCATTTACGTTGTGGATGTCTATGGGCTCCAGTAACAACTTAACACCAGGTGGGCTGTGAACTCATTCACCCAACTTAGCAATTAAAAAAAAAAACTTTCAACATACATATAGACCTCTGTTACATTTTGCATTATATTATTACATGTATAAGCGTATAATAGTGTCATTTTGAGAGAACTTATTAATACGCAGTACTTAGGTACTAATAGATTCCATTCAAATCAATCTAAACTATTTGATTAGTACAAAGCAGATCCTGACAGTAGAGTGCACTGAGCCCGCACGGGTCGTCACCACCTTCCAAGCTATTCCTACCGCGAAACACGTCATGTATTCCAGTTTGAATGCAGTATAGCCTCTAAACAATACAAAAGAAGCTTTCGTCTTTCGTCACAGGTGCGGTGGTGAGATTCTACAGTCTTCAGTTATTAAATATAAAAAAGCACGTTAAAAAACAAACCGCATTTTGTTCAATTAGCATTAGAACTATTTAAATGATTGTCCGCCAGCTATCACGATTGTTATATTCAATTCGAATAAGTACTTGTAAAACAGCATCAAATCAAACTTTGTTCTATTAAAATATAAATTGCCGTACTGGTCAATTTAGACATTAGCGAATTAAAATTTGACTCCTTTTTCAAATGAACAATACTATAATAATTGAAAAACAGTAACGATTTGAAGAATATTGTGTGATTTAGACTTTACGACTTTATAAATAAGGTATTATTTTCAGATCAAATCAAATCTCTCATGAATTCATTCAATTAACACATTGCTGTTTATCAAAGCAAACAGAATTTTAAAATGTATTGACGAGAAGCATTTAGTGACTCAACTTACACTTAATATATTTAATTAATATCTAAGCAGATATGAGTGAATTTGATATTTGATTTACAAAAACACATTCACATACATAAGTGGAGTATGTATACACATTGTCATGACGATTATATTTTTTATCACCTCCGAACGTAACCCTCGAACGATTTCTGTCTCTTTCGCTCTATATTCTATTCGATTGAGAGAAAGAGACGAACAGCAAGAGCTACGTTCATATTTGCTGCTAACAACATTTGATGAAAGCATAAAAATATTTATTGTAATCTCCTTTCATTTAGAATTAGCAGCAAATATTTTAATTAAACTTACACGATATATATACGTACTTATTTTAGTAGCCACGAAAGCGTTTGTAAGCATTTAGAAAAGTTTTACATCACATTGTTTTTGTTTTTTGAGTATTTTTTGACAGCAAAGCTTACACCAGCCTCGGATCGTTCGGATTGTGTGGCGCAACTAGTAACAGGAAAACAATAACAGATGGCGCTGTCTTCAAAATTAATTTAAACGTAGATTCGTATGCAGAATTTGAAATTCCAAATGACAAAAAAAAATTGTAATCCATTTCTTTGTCAAATGAGTCGCCATTTTGTTGACGTGATAATGAACACGTCCATTTTGATTTGACGTTCTCTGTGCCTTGAAATTAATAAGTACATATACCTCAAATTATATCATTTGCGGTATATAGCCAAGTGAAACAAACGCGTTACGTCTCTGAATGCTGGTGGAGTGTGTACCAACGCTACTTACTTGAAATATAAAGAGACCTTGTCCGCAACTATTGATAATTTTACTTATGGAAGCATTGGCTGAAATTTTCATGACAATAATTCAGTAGTGAATATTCTAAGGGTAAGATACGATCCGAGGGTGAGTTGCAGCGGTTGAGGAGGCTGTGTGGGTGAAGCAGGCACTTGTGTGTGGTCGGCGCGCGCGGTTATATGAACACCGGATTCTCCTGGCCAGTCAACAGTCTGAACATCGACGTCGGCATCGTTTTCATTAAGATCTGAAATGCGATTACACGAATACAACTATGCTACTCTTTAATGAGCATTGTATTTTTTTAAGGTACATTATTTACTGCAACGTTAACAGTACGGTTTAAATCGACGATTTGGAATATTATACAGTTTTTGTCATCGTCGATGGCGAATCCAATCCGCATCGATCAGATTTGAATTCTGTTTTTAAAAAAAGTATCATAAATGTCAAATTCGATTGACACTGACCATAGATTATATTAAATAATTAATAATCTTGTGCCAGGGCCGGGTAGAATCGTGACAGACAAACTTGAATGTCAATGATGAAATTGTCAAGACGTTCTATAATAAGTGACGTTTTTTTTTAGCATAGTCCAGTGACTAGTGCTCAGTAGCACAAAGAGTTTACATCATTTTCTGTAAAAGACATCCGACCGACAAAATTATTTAGTTCACAATCGTTCACCTCTCCGACGGAGGTGGCGAGCAGGTTGACGATCCTCTCATGCGGCACGGCGACCACGCTCTGCGAGTTGATCTCGATGATGCGATGTCCCACGCGCACGCCGCCGCGCTCCGCTATGCCGCCGCGGAGTAAGCTGCATATCTGTAGAGATTGACAAAGATATCATAATAATATAATTAAAAAAAAACGCCTTTTTTAATTTCCGAACACATGTACTATATACTATGTATATATTAATACGTGAAGTAAAAAGTTTGTACCCCTTTTTACGAAAATTGCGCCTACGGAGGAGTATGAAATTTCCCTCCCTTATAGAGAATATAGAGGAGTGCAGAATGTTATTTTTTTTTAAATTGCGCATAAACCATTATCATTACACTACTATTTAACACACACAGACGCGTGTATACTCATTTGTTATTATTTAAAGTCTGTGGTCAAATTAAGAATAGATTAATATTGTTTATCTTTAATATTATTTGTCTATAATGTAGTCTTGGCCAAATCTGTGATTATAGAAGTATAATAGTCTTTGACAATAAAATCATAATAATGTTCAACTTATAATTTCAATTAATTATAGTCAAATTTCGACTACTGGGGACAATTAGTATATTATTATATAAAAGTTAAACTCACCACACCATTTTGAACGCTAAAGCCTAATTGGTATTTAGTGTCCGGCCGTTTTATCTTGACCTCAACGACGGGAGCGCACGGTACCACGGTAAGTTTCACTACAGTTTGGTTTTTAGAGTTCTTTATGTAAGTTTGACAGGTCGACAGAGGCAGACCGACGAGGCTTACTCCATTAATTGCTATTATTTGATCGCCTGTAATTAAATAAAAATATTACGGGTAAATCTAGAACCAAAAAAAAATTTACAGAGCCTCATTTAAATCAATATATACCTACATAGTTTCAGATACAAAATAAAAATGTTTAAATAACAAATCGAAACAACAATGAATATCGTCTTTTTGTATCCTAAAACTAATCAGAATATAGAGGTAAGACAGACAGAGTTAAGTTATAAAATCATTTTATAGTGATCTAATAACAGTGCTTTTAGGTACCTCAAGCACCGGTCACCGTCCTCGCCGAACCCGTCACTTGCGACGAAGGGCTCGGCGAGTAAATTAACCCATAGACACAGCCCACTGAGTTTTTGCCGGATCGGCGGGGGAATTGCTAACAGCTGCCCTAGCGCCTCCGAAGGAGACCTAACAACTCAAGAGCAGCTGCTTCGCGAATGAATTTGCTATCGGATTGCAATCGCGACCCGCTGAGAAGATCCGGCGAGAAACTCAGCGGGCTGATGCATGGGTTAGGTTGCACGCCGACCTCTTTGTCGAGTTCGACGAGTATGGTTACCGGGGACGCACCTATGTTGAGTTGTCCGCAGCGCGCGGCGGCGCCGGCGGGCGCGAGGTTGGCGATGACCACGGTGGGCAGCATGGAGCCCCACCCGGACTCCACCACCACCACGCCCAGGATCTCGCCTTTAGTCTTCGGTACTACCACCTGAAGGAGCAACTTGTTATTACAACAAGCTTAATATTTATCTTTCAACTGAATTTAATTGCGAGCCGTTTGTTAAAAAAAAGCTATATTTTTTTATTATTTACTAGCTGACCCGGCAGACTTCGTGGTGCTTCAATCGATAAATAAAAGGCCTAAACTTTTGTATAAAATAAACTTAAAACAAACAATAGAAATCCGTCCGACGGGGGACACATCAAAAGGACACATTAAAAAAATAAAAAACAAAATTGTTATTTTTATTTAATTCCGAGCATTTTCATATTTATCTACCTTTTAAACCTTTACTGGACTTCCACAAATAGTTCAAGACTCAAATGAGCCAAATCGGTCCAGCCGTTCTCGAGTTTTAGCGAGACTAACGAACAGCAATTCATTTTTATATATGTATATGTAAATTCCTAAAAAATTTTTGAAGCTTTCAAAATATTCTACAATATGATGGACCTGCTTGAAGTGTCAAGCTCTTAACAAGCTATGTACCTCTTTTTGCAATTCCTTTTTCGCGAACATCTGGAGTTCATCACCGAATATCTCCTGACTGTTCAGCACCTCTTGATAATCCATCTCCTTGACGAAGCTGTGGTCTTCGATTCCGTTTGCCTTTAAGAACTCCATGTAGGCCACTTGGAACGCTTGGCCAATCGACTGCGCTATGAATTGGGCCTGTAAAATAAATTTCGGTAGTTTTCAGTTTAGGCTGGCAACTTTTTGGTAGTTTTAGTAGAAAACGATAATACTTCGATACTAAACGATAATCTTTAAAAAACTTATTAATTTGTGATTTTGATTATATGACTAATTTAATCGCTATTATTGAAAGACTATTTAGATTAACCGAAACGTGAAATGGGAATGCGTTTACGTACCACGCACAAAGATAGAACATAAGTAAGCTTAATAAACTAAAAGCTAGTATAATTTATTTTAAACTATACAAGTTTCGCTGAATATAAGGCGATATGTATAAATGATTAAAGTTTAACATTTCCCATTAAAAAGAGTTTTACATCGAATATTGCCAAAAGTACAAATTAATCATTATAAATTTCACAGCACAAAAAAAATTTTGCAGAAAATCCACGGCTTATATGGCAAAAAACAAGGGTATAATATTACCGCGTTATAGGGGGGATATATTCAGAAGTACGTTCTGCGCTCTCATTTGTTTTTCCAGACCGTTTGCCAAATAGACAGAGGAGCTCATAACACCACTGTTAATACCGCTATGCACCTTTAGACAACGACTATCCAGTACTACAGTCCGGAGATTGTCAGAACAGGGGTAAACACCCGTGAGGGCCATCAGCAATAAATGTTGCGAATTAGCAGAACGAGCAGAGGGAAGAAATCAACAAGGAATACAACTGCTGTGCCGCGGGTATTAGAAAGTGTTAGGTAGACCTGGGTCCCATTTCTGTATGTACATTTTGTGTTACACCGAAATACCGCACCGACTTCACAATACGCGCGATACCAGCTGAACTTTTTTTTTTATTGCTTAGATGGTTGGACGAGCTCACAGCCCACCTGGTGTTAAGTGGTTACTGGAGCCCATAGACATCTTCAACGTAAATGCGGCACCCACCCCGAGATATAAGTTCTAAGGTCTCAAGTATAGTTACAACGGCTGCCCCACCCTTCAAACCGAAACGCATTACTGGTTCAAGGCAGAAATAGGCAGGCAGGTGGTACCTACCCGCGCGGACTCACAAGAGGTCCTACCACCAGTAATTACGCAAATTATAATTTTGCGGGTTTCATTTTTATTTCTTACAAAATATGAGACTCCAAATTTGTTTTACTCGAAGTGAACTTGTTCGATTATAATTGACTCACCTCCTCGCTCTCAAAAACGTGACATATCATCTTCGGCGTACGGTTCAGTTTCGGTTGATCGGAATCATTTTCGTGCGGAACGAAACGTCGCCTCGCCATCAGAACCACCAGGTCCCCTATATCGGCGATGTACGATATCGTTCTGAGGGCATGGTCCATCATGATCTCTTTCAGTTCCGTGTTTAAAACCATTATTTTTTCCGTTGAAATGAACAGATCCACTTCGGTGCTCGGTTGGTTCTCGCCCTCGGGTGCCTTCGCAATGAAAACAATAAATTTAATCTAACATTGCTTTAGTGTCTTCCTTGCGACCAGATTTTGTTATTAATTTTTAAAGTAAAACCTACAGATACAGCCGAAAAAGGAAATAATATTGGTAATACTACTGTAGTAGTATTGTTTTTTCCCAATTGATACGCTAGTAGCTTATGGGGCTATTTCAGCTACCTCAGTGAGTTCGCTAACACTAGCCCTAGCAAGAGCAGTCCTTCACAGAACCTACCGCCGGATCAGAGTCGCGACCCACTAAGAAGATCCGGCGAAAAACTTAACGGGCTGTGTCTATGGGTGTATTAATGAACCTAGATGCAAACAAAATCAATTCGTAAGGCGCATTGTAAGCCCGCTTAGGTACCACCACCTTTTTTATTTCTGCCACAAATCGGTCATGAGTTCCCCGGTTTGAAAAGTTGTATTTCATGCAATATAGATACTTTCTCTGTCTCAAAATGTAATGATGTAATTCCACAATTCGTGACTCCGCAATCTAAGTCGAAACAGGTATGGTGGGCAATATTTTTGTTGCAATATACTGCGGATCTGCGGACCCTGGCCAATTTTCTTCGCTTATCTATAATCGCATAACATTGGAAGATATACCAGCAGTTTTGTTATTTGAGGTTTAAAAAAAGACCTCAGCACATTGGCTGTGTCACCGACATTGCCTATATCAGTGATTGTCCATGTAAAACACTAACCAAGATACGTTTTTTACGCTTTGCTTGATATAATAAAAACATAAATTTTGGTCTTTCTAACTTACCAATGCCTAATAAAATCCATGGGTGAGCAATAAGGAAAAATCATAAAAAGTGTTGTTAATTTAAATATAATATATAAGAAAGGAATTACAATAAAAATCTACTTAATTACGAAACGCATATAAGTTTACGCAAAAAAAAAGAGTTATACCTATATATAACAAGTGGTCGTTATATCACAGCGCGAAGACGATTAGCCTACACTATTACTATTAATCATTGCTAAATATATTCATGAAAAACATTTATATGCAATATTCAACGCAAATAACGAATGATTAAGGCTGTTTTTCGTATCAGATTTATGTTTTATATTTTACCCATACAGTATATTTTTTGGTAAATTTTTATTGACGGCAAAATATCAAGGGTCCTTTTTTTGGAAATGTCATACATAATAATTCATTTCAGATGTGGACCCAATGCTTTGATACATTAAACATTAAAATGATATAATAATAACAAATTATTCATATGGATTAGCTGTCGGCCAAACCACCTTGATCTTAGTGACTGCCTCCTCGACCATGTTCTTTTTGAGTCGTTTTTTCCTTCTCCTAGAGTCCTCGTCCACCTCGACCGATCCCAGGAACGTGAGGCGGAACACGGCCGCCGGCGCCGCGTACACCCCGGAGTACGGACCATCGCAGCCCCACTCCCACTGTAGGACACACCGGCTAACCTCCTCACCGAACCGCTCGCTCTCACATTGTCGTATTCGATATTTTTTACGATTGGCAACTCTTTTTACCGATTTATCACTATCGATGTTCGATGGCCAGTATTATTTATGTCATAAAATCGATTACTGACATATCAATTTTAATAGTTTTTTCTCTTAAATTCAGTAGGCATATTCTATACACAATTTCCCGATAATTATGAAAGCAAACTCTGTAGCTGAATGAAGCTATTGAAAAATATTCGATTTTCATCGGACTATATATAGGTAAAGCCTTTTTCAAACGCGCATATCATTGTACCTAGCCAATCATCAGATTGACGAAAACGCAAGCAAAAATAAACTCGAATACAAACACGCACAATGATGAGAGAAGCGAGCGAGCGATAACCGTCGTCGTTAGTTCGGAAGCCTTACGATTAATAAAGTTAATTAAATCATCTCCACTCGTGCTTAGGCGTAAAGCTAATCCGCGATGTCTGTGCAGGCTCTCTCGGTCCGCCGGAAATCGGCTACAGCCGGTGTGAATCGGATATGGATCATGCTGTATCGTGCAGATGTGAAACTCGCGTGATCATAGAGCAAGCGTCCCACGCGCGCCAATATTCGTCCGTGGCAGCACAGATTATCCAAGAGTACGAATTAAAAAAAAATACACACGATAATCTAATTAAGTAAAATCGTAAAACATGCTAAATGTGAAACGAGCACTTGTGAACGGAAAGGCTGTCACCTTACCTTAGTTCGAAGGTTTTTAGAGCGCAAGGACGTAATGTAAAGCATAGCGACAAGCGGTAAAGTAAGCGACAGACAAACATATTCAGAGGAGGCTAGCCGGCCAGTACGGGATCCGACATTCTTCCAGGTCGGGTCGAGGGGGTGAGGAGCACGCTGAAAAAAACACTCTAGTGCCAAGTCAATAAGAGCGTAAATGGTTTGGCGGACAGGTCGGTGGACGTCACCACAGAGTTGACAAATTCATTCACGGGGTACCGTAACTCTCGGCATAAAAACTAATCTAATTAATATTTATAATTATATTTCAAGTACACTAGCATTCTCAATACACTAAACCTACAAAATACTGGTATTTATTTAGAGCATGAAATTACATATTTACATAATAATTTAAAATGTGTTTGAAAAATATTTTACAACTTTAAGGTGCAAACACTTTCCGTTAAAATATGTGGTATTTTATTTTAAACGTAAATGAACATGGCTGCAATTATAAAATAGCCAATATGTATTAAATTTATATGTCTGTGCCAAGAATGAACTGACATTTGCTTTTTTTTTTTTTTGTAACACTGACGAAGGGTTTTTTCAGATGTCTAACCCGGTTTTTTCTTTTCTCAGTGGAGTACTTGTAAGCCTTGCGAAACCGTGTCCATTCCGGTAATAATAGTCGATTCTGGTAATATAATAAAGAGATAATAGTAAAACGCAATTTCATGCTCGCAAACACAGTACATAATATCTACATAATATATAATGTTAGGTACTTTTAAACCGATTCACACGGGCAGTTTTTGCCTTTACATTAATGAGAATGCGTTAATTAACAATTCATTTAACTGTTGTGTCATTATAATACATCGATCAGTCAGATAATTAATTACTTCAAATTGAAATCAAACAAATAAATTGTAACAACAATTTTATATAGTTCTATTAGTAATTTCTATGAAATAGATTATATTAATTGTTGAAATTAGGTGTGGTATGTCATCATAAAAACTGGTTTTCCTTTAATTTTGAAATAAATATTTATTTTTAATAAGAATATTATTAAAATAAAGTTTTACGGTTTAATCTCTTGTTAGTAGTTAACAGATTTCCCGGGCATGGTATAGATAGACTTAAGTAACATAATAATGTTCGCATCCCTTGTTACTTCCTTTTTTTATGAAGGAAGGCTTACTGGTAGCCCTGAGGCCTTTCCAGTTTCACCAGGACAGGTGGGAGGATCCCACCCCTACTGGTCGCCAGGAGGAGTGGGATTTGCTAACAGCTACCCGAGCGCCTCCGAAGGAGACCTAACAACTCAAGCGTAGCAGCTTCGGTACCGGATCGCTGTTAATTCCTTGTTCCCCCAAACTGTATACAAATAATCTGAACATCTATTGAGGAGAGCATTAGGTAGACTTTCCACGCACACACAAAGCAACCGTGTAATATCTTGAAGTGTAATTTATTTTATTGGGTTTCATTTTAAAAATGAAACGGGAGTGTCTATTACTTCAATACTTCTCAGGACTGAAGTCCATTTACGAAGCGTGTTGCGGATAATAATATGTACTTTTAGGTTATTAAACTACTTTGCATTTTGATTTAATAAAAAAAAATGATTTAGATATGTTTTACGAAGCAGTGGTTCACGATATGATGTCTGACTTAAATTCAATCAGCATATTAAAAGTCATCCAAATTTCAATGATACTAGGTCGGATCAACTGATATTACCTGGTATATTACCCGACGTACTAACCATAGATTAAACCGCAAAACGAAGACACGTGTAAATATTAAACAAAAAAAAACGATATTACTCCGTTTACCTTAATCCTGGAGACCGCTTCTTCGGCCTGGAGCATCCGAGTTGCCTTCGTCGGCTGACCCTCGCAAGCGAGCTGGGTGGAGCCGAGGTAACGAGCTCGGAATAAGACACCTTCGATCAGAACTGAACGTATTGTTTCTGAAAAAGTTCAATGACACTGTTGTATTTCAAGTTTTTTAAACGTAATCTAGGTAGTATATCGAAAGGTGAAAGGCGACATTGGTTTAACGGACATTTTTGCAAATTTTATCCAGGAGAGCCATTTAAAGTTTAAAATTTGGAAAAAATATCATAACAAAAAAAAAAACTTCTTTAACCATTTGAATGGAGTAAACTTAATCGAAGTTAAATTAAAAACACCAAACTGTTGATGCTAACACCAAATAAAATGTCGCTCAAACCAAATATCTTTTCACTCATCGATATTCCTTTTTTTCTATGATCATTTGGAATAATTGGGAGCACATTTAACGAGTTTTTTTTAACGCTTAGATGGATGAACGAGCTTGAGGTGCTTGAGGTACCTAAAAGCATCGTTACTGGATCGAGAGGATCCAAAATGACATCTTTTAGGCGACGTCAATTGTTTACCGTCCGCCAATGTTAGTTGTATGTTTGTTTATGAAATATTTCTAGAAATTATCGTATTGAGATATTTTTTATTGCTTAGGTTGCTGGACGAGCTCACGGCCCACACGATGTTAAGTGGTTACCGGAGCCCATAGACATATCAACAAAGAAAACGCCACCATTCACCTCGAAACACGAATCCTGAGTCTCAGTTTTATAGTGCAACGGCTTCACGGCAGAAATAGGCGGCATGGGTATCTACACTCACAAGACGCTATACCACTAGTACCTAAGCGTCACGTCATTGTTCAAATGAGTATCGAAGCCCAGAGTTATCTACGGTTGGATGTAATAGAGAGAGAAGAAGGTGGAACCCGTGCAGCTATAGATTTAACAACACCAAACATAACGTGAACTTTCTCTGCGAATCTATACTAACATATAAATCTACAGTGGTTTTTACGGATGTTCCGTTATAACTACTGAACCACGCATCCGATTGACTTGAAACTTGGTATCCATGTAGAAAATACATGTACTTAATGGATAGGTTAATATTTATATGAGTGTTGGACTCCCTTCACCAGTTGCGGGGGCGTTAATAATGAGAATCTTTGTGGGGGTGAGAAATAATAATGTTAATTTTAAATGCCCAGTGAAGCGGACGGGCACAGCTAGTATTAGATAAAAGTATACTTCCCTAATCACACATCTATTATTGAATAGAATTATTGGTATTATTTTATTTCTCGTTACTTTAAAGAAACATATCGTGAATCTCTTGAATAACTAGCTACATAGCAATAAGGTCAAAAAGGACCAGCTTTAATTAAGATTTTTGATTTTCGTCTTTACGAAGTGTTGTACATTAACACTCACCGTTTTATTAATTCCATGCGCAGCGTAAATGAAATATTCATTTTCAGTTTGATTTATTTGATCATAATTTATGTTACATTAGAAATAAATAAATCTATTTTTATATTAATCTGAATAATACGAAGTGTACATCCTTCCGGATAGGCAATGACTTATGCGAATATAAAAATTATATTTTTAATACATTAGACATATTATGTCATTCTTGTTTTAATAACTACATTTTCATGAGTCCGGAAACTAAAATGAAGGCAATGGCGTTCCTCCCTCCCATCTCACGAGGTCGCTGACCCCGAGCGTCAGCTGATTTTTGAGTTGAGAGAGAGACAGAAAGTGAGAGAGAGAGAGTATTCTTTATTGTACACCAAAAAACAAAACAGTTTAGTAACAATTCAATGCAAAAAAACATTTTTTTAAGATATAAATTGTTTTTTTTTTAATTCATTTACAGGACGGGCACAGTACAATCTATATAAAATAGTAAGTTAAACGAACCTTCCTTGTTTTTGCTCTTCTTCTTTCCGTCTTTGTCCTGAAAAAAAAAAACGATAAAATCATTGAGATATCAAATCATAAATAATTAAATCAAATATAACACAGTAAAGTCACCAAAGCACACGCGGACAAAAATTTAATTGTTTTGTTTGAAAATGCATAAATATTTTACATTTATAGATTCAAATATAACGTAGAATGTAGATATTGGTTATATTTAGAGTAGTTAGTTTATTTTTTATTGCTTAGATGGATGGAGGAGCTCACAGCCCACCTGGTGTTAAGTAGCTACTGGAGCCCATAGACATCTACAACGTAAATCCCTAAGGTCTCAATATAGTTACAACGGCTACCCCACCCTTCAAACCGAAATGCATTACTGCTTCACGGCAGAAATAGGCAGGGTGATGGTACCTACCCCTGCGGACTCACAAGAGGTCCTACCACCAATAATTACACAAATTATAATTTTGTGTATTTGATTTTTATTTCACAATGTTATTCCTTCACCGCGGAAGTCAATCGTGAACATTTGTTAAGTACGAATTTCATTAGAAGCATTGGTATCCGTCTGCGGGATTCGAACACCGGTGCATCGCTAGAATATTTAGATTAGTCAACATTTTAATACGAACGAACTAACCACTGTGTAATTAATTACTGCTCGATATTTAAGTAAGCATATTGTAATAAGACGGCTTATCTGAATATTCGTGTGTCCGTGTGTGTTAATTTTTATGTACATAATATGTAATACAAACTAGCATACAGTGTAGTATAATTTGTTACAGTCATTATTCATCGAATATTCATTATTCGTAAGTTGAATTTTAATGCGTATTACAAATTTAGCAATATTTATTACAATTTTAGGTGACAATTATGAAATTTTAACTCTTCTTACCACATTATTCGATTTACGATCCACCGGTGGGCCTAGCGTACTATATCATTCGGGCCAAGCTAAAATTAGGGATTCACTGGTGGTAGGACCTCTTGGGAGTCCGCACGGGTAGGTACCACCACCCCGCCTATTTCCGCCGTGAAGCAGTAATGCGTTTCGGTTCGAAGGGTGGGGCAGCCGTTGTAACTATACTGAGACCTTAGAACTTATATCTCAAGATGGGTGGCGCATTTACGTTGTAGATGTCTATGGGCTCCAGTAACCACTTAACACCAGGTGGGCTGTGAGCTCGTCCACCCATCAAAGCAATAAAAAAATAATAATAAAGAAACAGTATTTTTGATCAACTTGAGATTCATTCAAAAATTTATAAAATGCTATAATCTGCACGGAAGATAAAAATTAGCGACTTTTATCGTCTACTAATTTTAAAACTTTAAAAGGCCCACGGTTGTCCCTTGTGGCTTGAATGGTACAGTAAGATAGGGCTCACCGGTGGGCGCCGTGACCTGAATGAAAATACTAGATTTTTCATAAGACGTTCAACGTGTTAGTTATTGCGATGCGACTGTGCCGGTGTTTGAATTCCGCAGGCAGATAGATACCAGTTTTTTCTAACTTTTTTTTTCCCTACCTAAGCTGATAAGCCTTGAGAGGCTATTTCAGCCTAACCTTAACTAGTAGGTAAGCTCACAGGGCTAAAACCGGAGTGATGCTAACACTGGCCCTAGCAAGAGCAGTGCTTCGCAGAATCTACCACCGGATCGGAAACGCGACCCACTGAAAAGATCCGGCGAGAAACTCAGTGGGCTGTGTCTATGGGGTTTTCTAACAAAATACGTAATTAGCACATGTTCACGAATGACTTTGAGGATGAAAGAATAACATCTAATATATAAAATTCTCGTGTCACAATGTTCGTTCCCATAGTCCTCCGAAACCGCTTGACCGATTCTCATGAAATTTTTTATGCATATTCAGTAAGCCTGAGAATCGGCTACTATCTATTTTTTATACCCCTAAGTGATTAGGGTTGTCCACCCCTAACATTTTTTTTTTTTTATTTGGACATTTTTTTTTTGTTATAATGAGGTATTATGTGGTAATGAGGTTTTGTTATTTTTATTAAATATTCCCTCATCATTCACAGCACCTCTTTCATTCATTTACTCAGTTTTTTTTTCTACACTAAAAATTCCCTAGAAATCTTATATATGGCTAAACAATGTTTGCCGGGTCAGCTAGTTGAGTAATAAAAATCAAACCCGCAAAAGCTATAATTTGCGCAATTACTATACAACTGAGAGAGAGAGAGAAAGAGACCTCAAATTTTACGTTATTGATGTCTATGCTGCTGATATGTCTATGTCTACTGCGTAATCACTTAACATCAACTCGGTCGTTGGTCCGTTCAATAAGCCTAAGAAAAAAGAAAAAAAAAACTTATTTATTTTGATATTTACTTCACTATTACGGTTACAACACGACATGGTTTTAAATTTCTGTAAAAACCGAGACAACTTACATGTTTTAAAGAACATTTACATACTGCTGTTGGATTATAACATTATAAAAGACTAGCTGTATCCGTCCGCTTCGCTGGGCATTTAAAATTAACGTTATTATTTTTCACCCCCCACAAATATTCTCATCATTAACGTCCCCGCAACTGGTGTAAGGAGTCCAACACTCATATACTCGTAAATATGAGCCTATCCATTAAGTACATGTATTTTCTACATGGATACCAAGTTTCAAGTCGATCGGATGCACGGTTCAGTAGTTATAATGGAACATCCGTAAAAACCACTGTAGATTTATATATTAGTATAGATGGAATGAATAACTTCTTTGCGTCTTCAGACCTTTCCATTATGAAGATTCTCCTCGTCTTTGTTGTCGGCGGCGTCGTGAGCGTGAGGCGGGGAGCGCGCCGAGCCGGACCCGCTGCCCGCGGGCATCACCGTCCGGGATTTCGGTTTCCGCCAACCCTACAACATTTAGTACATTCTTTAGTCTTCGCGAGTCGTAGATGTAATCAAAACTGCTTCTACGGTTTAATCTAGCATTTTTTATATTTTAGGACATTTAAGGACAAATTATTTCCGTTGTTTCGATTACGGACGGACATCTATCTCCATGATGTCCCGGAGCTTGACTCAGTCAGTAAGTATATACACTCGGCATCAATACGCCACTTTAAGAAGGCGGCGCGACACGAAAACCCTCTTGTCGTGGCCGCCGGAAATTACATACCCAATCCTGTGGACCGAATGGTAAACAGTCGACGTTGCTCTAACACGTCATTACTAAACCTCCCGATCCATTAACGGTGCTTTTAGGTACGTCAAGCACCGGTCACCGTCCTCGCCGAACCCGTCGCTTGCGAGGAAGGGCTCGGCGAGTAAATTAACCCACAGACACAGCCCACTGAATTTTTCGTGGGATCTTCTCAGTGGGTCGCGTTTCCGATCCGGTGGTAGGTTCTGCGAAGCACTGCTCTTACTAGGGCCAGTGTTAGTAACACCTCGCGTTAGAGCCCCGAGAGCTCACCTACAGCTAGGGTAACGCTGATATAGCCTCTCAAGACTATCAGCAAAGGTAGAAAAAAAAAACGGACGGACTGGTAACTGAGGTCGTCCGTGACCACAAGAATCCAGAAAGTAAACAAAACAATAATATAATGACAATAGAAAACACTAAGTAAACAACAAGACAAGAAGTTTTAACTACCTACAATATTAATTGAATTTAAGAATTCGAACGCATACGCATTAACATTTGTTCGAAAACAATAGTGTTCAAGGTGCAAGTTCGATGCCGTGACCTTAGTGCCAATGTTGTGAGAATAACGACGAAGGGATGATCTTCCACCGAGCGGGTGATATTTCTCGGTATAGTCGCTAACCGACGGTCCGAATACAAGTTCTGAACAACAACGAACTTGTATATATTCAAGCTTATCTTGAAAAAGTCGTTAACAAGATTCAGGCATCTATCAAATATCTTGTGTTCTAAGATGGCTACCTGCCCAATGTTATTTGATAAAGATGACGGGAAAACCGAAAGGGTTATTATTACTCTAGCAATGTCTGATTATCTTAGTTGACTAATTATTATGTGGTGAGTAGAATAGCGATTCCGACTTCCTTCTAAATAGAAGTGTTGAAATAATAGACGTAGTTTAAAATCTAAAATAAAAAAAATATTCTTCAAAGGTAAAATCGATTTGTTATGGCGCCGTAAATTTTAGAAATTTTCCTGACACATTCCGTGAGTGTTGGGATACTTGGGGTCGGTGTTTCGATCGATGTTTAACATCGTAGTCTGTTGGAGGGTAAAGCAAAGTTAGCGTCAAAAATGTTAGGAGTCATCAACAGACCGCAGCGATACTTCAGTTACTTCTATTTGACTACAGAAGAGGGTCATTCGAATTATTGATACCATTGAATACCATTCGGTGGGAATTCGATTTTATCCGTGTTTTGTACCGTGTGATCCATGGAGAGTGCTCTGCGATGATCCCATTATCTCGTTCTTACCATGGCACCGGCCGTCACCAGAGCAGAGTCCATCCATACTACCTAAAACGACTGCGTTCATCCACAGCGCGTTTCCATAGATTTTTTCGGCCACGTATCATCCGGCTTTAGAATGAGCTCCCCTCTTGGGTGTTTCCAGACCGCTACCACACTAAGCGGCGGCTTGGCTGTACCCTGGCAATGCTGATGTCCATGAGCGAAGGTAACAACTCACCATCAGATGGGTCGTACACTCGTCTGCATACAAGGCTAATGAGAAAAACGGTCTGAGTTCACGGGTGTTTTCATGGAATTGACGCTAAAGAATTTTAGCGTGTCGATGATAGGACACGATGAGCTATCTGCTCGTAAGTTGCGCAATCGCGCTGATGACTCAACTAATTTAAATGAGAATAACTGATGTCTAAAGCGGGTAACATTAACTTTATTCCGCCTGAAACGGTAAAAAGTTAAAAAGGCATTTAGATATTTTAAAAACATTCAAATGCTCAGTTAATTGAGTAACAAATTTTCGTAACTATCGATAGAACACATATAATTTGTAAATAATTAATAAGCGATCAGAGAATGAGGAAACTTCACATTCCTTATTATATTTTATCGTATATTTTATTGAACTAAGTGTCTGGACACGCTCACCGCCTCTCTGGTGGTATCAAATTCGGTCAAAAACCAACATGAAATTGTTGTCTCAATTGTACAGTAATTACGCAAAATCTTCTAATTGGGGGTTTGATTTTTGCTATTCTATTGAATTCCTTTATCTTGGTATTCATTCGTGAATATGAACTAATTACGTATGCATTTCGTTTTGATAAAATTGGTACCTGTCTGTGGGATTTGAATATCAAGACAGTCGCATCACTCGATAAGAAGTACACACCAGGCGAAAACTATGTGTTTCGTTGACTTCAAAATTTAAAACTAAATTGAAATACTCAATATTTTCACCTTTTCCTTTTCATCTTCTTCGACATTTAAGCCCGATTCACTAACTGCAACGTTTGACTCACTACTAGACACGTTGATGTGTTCTGATTCAGTGTTTCCGTGTGCTACATCCGCAAATTCTCGCTTAATGTCCGTGGTATCATTAAAATTTTCATCTTTTACTTTTTCATTACATCCAATTTTTTCACCATCGTAATCTTCTATTTTTGATTCACCAGCGCTAATTCGTTCTAGACTCGTGCTTTTGTAAATGGCATCATTAAATACTATATATTCATTGGCATCACTTATATTACTGACTTTTCTGTTGTCATTTTCATTTATTTCTTTCTGAATATCTAAAAATACTTCTGTTTCTTTAAGTATATTATGTTCTTTCTTATCATGTGCACCTTCGTTGTCCAGTTTCCCGTTAACTTCTTCTGTAAAATTTTCTCTGTCAGCTTCTTCGGTATTCAGAAAATTTTCGCTTGTTTCCTCTTTCCTGTTGACATCACATATTCTGTTTGTTACTAAACACGGCTGACGCTCTTCTTCGTTCATTTTGTCCATTATCATTTGTTTATAATCTATTTCAATAATTCCTCTTTAGTTACTATCAATAATCTTACAATATATCTATTTATAATATGTCTATGCTCCCAGTTTACATTCACATTTCCCATATTGAATTTGAAACGGAAAATTACCACTGCAACATTCCCGAATAACACGCATTTTCAACAACACAACACACGTTTTAAAACACGTCTTTTATTTATGATTACATATTCATGGACAACATTAATACACTGACTGCCACGTTATAAACGTTTAAAGTTAATATTGTAGATAGTGTTTTATCTGTAGCGCGTTCGGCCGCGTATTGATAAAAATATGATTGAATAAAAAGAAACACACATGCACTCCACTCGATGAACTTATGAACACTGACAGGCGACCATTTGTGCAGATGGATACGTCATAGAGTAATTGTTTATGGTTTATTTAGATCTTTTTTAGTGAGCCGTTTGAGAATTTATTAATATTTTTTTAACGATTATTTTTCTTTTTTTTAGGCTCCGTGAAATTTAATTCAAAAATTAAATAATTTGCTTCGTTTTTTAGATTAAAAATTTTGAATGAGGGAATGAAAAATTTCCTTTTTCGTTAACAAGAGCTAAAAAAACGAGAAAACAAAGACTTGTCGATAGTGGGAATACACCCAATTTTTTGTAATTTAATAAGTTATTTTGAAAAAATAAAACTCATTGTTTGAGATAATATTATTATAATAAGTAAAAAAAGTAAAGGGAGTAAGAAACTTGTGTGTCTTCTTAGATACTTAAATAATAGGCATATAAAATCGAATGAACAAAATCTAATCTTTGATCAAAAATAGGAGAGCAAGGTCATTGCGCGTGCGCCGACTCGACCTATAGCTGCTATTAGCTGTTTTATTCAAGTCCAGAATAAACAAACTTGCGAGCAGCTGATGATTGCATCACCTAATCACCTTACTGAATGAAATTATGTCGAACCCGCTTGACCTTTTGGAGACGCCATCACATCTGTTTTTCTTATTAGTATTATTTGATAAATATAGTATTTAAATTACGAAATCACACTCAGATACATTTTGCAATAGTTTAAACACTATATTATAAATCTTTTTTTTTTTTAGATTAGCCCATAGACATCGCAACCCGAATGCCGCCACCAGCCTTGAGACGTGCGGTCGTAATTTTTTATTTTTTTATTGCTTAGATGTGTGGATGAGCTCACAGCCCACCTGGTGTTAAGTGGTTACTGGAGCCCATAGACATCTACAACGCAAATGCGCTACCGACCTTGAGATATGTTCTGTCTCAGTATAGTTACAACGGCTGCCCCACCCTTCAAACCGAAACGCAGAAATAGGCAGGGTGGTGGTACCCACCCGCGCGGACTGACAAGAGGTCCTACCACCAGTAATTACGCAAATTATAATTTTGCGGGTTTCATTTTTATTACACGACCTGAACATTTGTTAAGTAGCTACATTCTTTAAAATAGAATTTTTTTCAGGTATTTCAACTTTAAATTAGTCTACTGTAAAGTTCACGCATTGTCGCTTAGTCACGTTTGCCTTTCAGCGTCAATATGTACCTATACTGTACATACACCAAAATATATTTTTTACAATTTTTGTCTATCTGTCAGTCTGTTTGGTCCGGCTAATCTCTGGAACGGCTGGACCGATTTTAACGAGACTTTCACTGATAGGTAGCTGATGATATAAGGAGTAACTTAGGCTACTTTTTTTAGACTAGCTTCGCCCCGCGGCGTCACCCGCGGCGCGACAACAACCGCGGGTAGCATCGCGGGGCTCAGCTATACCAAATAAAACGCATCTTTAATTACATAGATTTAGTATCGTATTCAGCGAAATGTCGCTCAAACCAAATAACCTTTCACCCCTCGATATTATTGTTACATCGAGTGTGGTCAAAGATGTTGAGTAATCGAGTCTGGTCAAAGATGTTGAGTATGATCGAATAATTTTGTAGGCAGCGGCTTGGCTCTGCCCCTGGCATTGCTGAAGTCCATGGGCGACGGTAACCACTCACCATCAGGTGGGCCGTATGCTCGTCTGCCTACAAGGGCAATAAAAAAAACCGTACTTGTCATTGTTGCCAGCCCGACAGGCGATCATAGCCAGACCATAAAGATTGTCAATCTTTTAATGTAATAACATTAGCGAGAGTTGAATTTACACACACAAATATATAATAGTTACTAATAAATAATGATATAATAATAATAATAATAATAATAATTAGTAAATATACAGATTTTAAAGATGAAATAATTAGAATCTGAAGACAACAAAATGTTTATATAGTATCCGTAGTTCTTTCCACAACAGGTGTCATTCCCTACCATCTTCACCATAGCCTTAAATTAGACAATCTCAAACAAAATCTCTACATAACCCTCCAAAAAGCCGCTATTTTAAACACCTGCCGAATCGTGAGGAAGTTTATGCAGGTTGACGATAACACACCATCACCCAACCAACACACAAACATTATCATTACCGGCTCCGCCGAGAAAACAAGTCGATAATAATAATAATAATAATAATAACCATAGTGCGACGATTCCTTACATCCACTACTCAAACCCCTACAACACTACACAATGAAGCAACTCAATTGGCGTAAGCCCGTGCTAGCTTCACATTTACCAGCATTAGCTGAGAAGAAAAATATCCTTAACCGATAATAATAAAATCATTTATTCCTTTTTACACATTTAGATTATTACAGTTAGGAAAATAAATACACGTGTGGCACTGGGGGACTGCCGCGGTAAAGCTATTGCATAGCATTTTTTTTCAACTTATGCAATTATAATTAGACAATAATAATTTAATATTAAAACAATAACAAAATAAGACCGCGCTATATTTATAAACATTAACAAAAGCAAAACATTAACTGTCCCCTTCACACTCATAAGCTGGACCGCGCGAGAGAGGGATGGGCAGACTTTTCATGATACGCATACAGTGCGACGTCACGCCGCGCGCTTATTCACAAACACTACACAAGTGCAACGTGTGAATGTGTTGAACTCGAGCTACATGGTAGGCGGAGTGGGGGTGTTAGGTTTTATTTTCGTTACGGACTTTCTTGATTCGGTCGCCGCGGTCAAAGCCCGCGATAAAAGCTATGCAAATAGTTTAAAAAAAAGCAAAAGGTGTCTCAGCTGTTGCAAAGTGTTCGGGAACCTGGTTTTAAATAATTGTCCTAAAAAAATAATTATGGATTGCAGTTAATGTGCAGTACTCACTTTATCGTCGAAGAAGCCCTGGTCGTCGGTCCTCTGCTGACCGAGCAGCCGATCGGTTTCGAGATCGGTATCAGCTTCGTCTGATCGTTAACAAATTGAATAATGTACTTATTAAATTGTAAAACACTAGCGTAAAGCACATACATTTTAACTTGTATATCGAGGAGTGAAATGCTATTTGGTTTAAGCGACATTTCGCTTAATACTTTTATTTATTTATTGCTTAGATGAGTGGACGAGCTCACAGCCCACCTGGTATTAAGTGTTACTGGAGCCCATAGACATCTACAACGTAAATGCGCCACCCACATTGAAATATAAGTTCTAAAGTCTCAGTATAGCTACAACGGCTGCCCCGCCCTTCAAGCCGAAACGCATTACTGCTTCACGGCAGAAATAGGCAGGGTGGTGGTACCTACCCGTGCGGACTCACAAGAGATCCTACCACCAGTAAAAACGCGACATTTGTCTTTGTAATTAAATGTGCGTTTTATTAGGTTTTAGCATGAACAGTTCGATATTTTTAATTGAACTTCAATTAAGTTTATTCCATTCAAAAAGCCGAAGAAGTTTTTTTGTTATATTTTTCAAAAAGTTTAAGCTTTCAAGTGAGTCTGTTGTGAAGTTGCAAAAATGTCGTTTAAACCAAACAGCCTTTCAACCCTCGAATTATGTTTGATTAAAAACTACTTTAACGGGGGTTAATCTTGAATTTTTTATTCGAATCCAAAATTATAATGCGATAATAAAAAAACTTGAGATTAAACCTTATAAGCAGTCATTACGACTGGTTATTATACCTAGCGAAAACCTAAGAAAATAACATACATATTCTCTTAAATACATAACAGTTCTTATTTATAAACGGGCTTGTTTTCCAAAAAACGAGTAAATTGAAATGTTTTCGCCATATTGTTTTTTCTCAAAAAATCTGTCAAAAATATGCAAACAGATTTGACACAGTGTTTATTCGATAGAAACGCAGGCAACAAACACACAATATCTATACATTTTTCAGCGATTTTTACTAAAAGTATTTTAACTTCGGTACATACTTAGTATTACTTAGTTACTGTAGATACCGACACTCTGCTTATCTTTATCATGAAGCAATATTACGTTCCAATTTGAAGGCGAAGACCTCGTGTCTCAGCGTCGGTAGTGGCATTCACCCTGATGTCTATGGGCTTGTGTCTATGGTCTATGGTAACCAAAAAATGCCAGGTGGACCACGAGGTGGTTGACCCGTCGATGCAGTAAAAAAAATGTCACACGATACCTTCGTCGCCGCTTGGAGGTTTGATTTCAACGGATTCAGTGCTTTGAGGCGAGGCAGGCCTTTTCCTGTACCAAAAAAAAATCATCTGATTAGACCCACGGTTTTCTTTAGCATTTTTTTTTTACTGCAGCAGTATTTATAAAATACGATATATCATGGCTGTCAAACCAAAATCTGCTATGTGCAAAAACTCTATTTTGAGTTAACATTTTCGTATAAAATTTAATATGAAAGTAATTTTTTATATCAAATGAAAGCTATAGATAAATATTAAAGCTATAGAAACATAACAGTTTTTTTTATACGGTAGATAGGGCTGTGAACTCTACGAAAAGATCAAAAAGTAAAAATCTCAAAAAGTGCACATAGCAGATTTTGGTTTGACAACGACGATATATTGATTTCATATAACTTAAAAATTTAAGTGAATTGAATTTAATACGATCATAAACATATTTACGGTTGGAATGGAATAAATTCGGAATACCTAAGCAAAGTTCGCAAATAAATTTTACCTTGAAGGGTAGACGTCTTGGTGCGCGGAGGGTGGAGAGGCTGTGGGGCGATGAGGCGCCGGCGCGGGGGGCGGGGGAGCCGCTTCGCCGCACGCCACTACACACATACATACACATGTAATCAATCCTTATAGTCCCTTAAGCTGCTTTCAGACTACGCCATCTATGCTTATATATAAATCTACAGTGATTTTTACGGATGGTGCGTTATAACTACTGTACCATGCACCCGATTGACTTGAAACTTGGTATCCATGTAGAAAGTACATGTACTTAATAGATAGGCTAATATTTATATGAGTGTTGGACTCCGTACAACAATTGCGGGGGCGTTAATGATGAGAATCTTTCATGGGGTGAGAAATAATAATGTTCATTTTAAATGCACAGGGAAGCGGACGGGTGCAGCTAGTACTATATAATAGTGCCATATAGCATATATATTTAATCAATAATATATAGTACAGTACAGTGTGAACGTGTCCATAACGATGTATGGTGCGCGATATTGTTGTGCTATGAGCTATATGCTATTGTATTATAACGTAGTCTGAAAGCAGCTTTAAGCTACCAGCAAAGAGGTGGAGGAAAAAAGTAGACGTCAGGCAAGTGGCCGGTCGTACAGCTATGCCCAGGGACGTCTTAAACTAGGATGGGGCCCTTGGGCACACAAGAATTTGGAAAGTAAAAAAGCGAATTATAATAACATTTTTTTACTGAGTATGACCATTTATTATAGGTAATCAAATACAGTATGATATAATATGTCATTAATGATATTAGAATGCTGCTGGTTTTTTTGGTTACGATTTCGATAACGGGTTCTTTCGGGATGTCTGTTGAGCAAAATCTTTTATTATAGGCATAGTATATGCCTTCTGATTACTGATTTGTGAAAAAAGTGTAATGTGCCCGACAAAAATGTTTTGAGAATAAACGTGTGAGAGAAATTGTCGGTCTTTCGGGGCCCCCTGAGAATGGGGGCCCTGGGCACGGGCCCCGTGTGCCCTTATGGTAAAGACGGCATTGGCTATGCCAAATCCCTATGTAGCATTGCGAGAAGACATGCTGCGCTGAGCCCGCGTAATGTGGGTCTATTCAGATACGTTTACGAGTTCAGCGCTAGCTGGTATCTATCTAACTTTGAATATACTTACCGAGTGGATCTAAAGAATGTAGATCGGCGTCCGACAGTAAGTGGGGTTCCGTGCTGGTTCCGTTCTCGACGATTTCCGTTATTACGACCGAATGAGTCTGTTGGAACAAAAATCGTTGTTTCACACGTATGCACACAAAATAATTTCGATTTCTTTAAACGTGCAGGAGAGCAATCAACCTATGGTCCGAACCGAAACCTATGGTCATGTGATAATATGCTTTTTTTTCCTACCTAAGCTGATAGCCTTGAGAGGCTATGTCAGGGTAACCTAACAAGTAACTGAGCTCTTGGGGCTCAAACCTGATGATGTTGCTAACACTGACCCTAGCAAGAGCAGTGCTTCGCAGAATCTACCACCGGATCGGAAACGCGACCCACTGAGAAGATCCGGCGACGAACTCAGTGGGCTGTGTCCCATGGGTTAATTTACTCGTCGAAGCCTTAGTCGCAAGCGACGGGTTCGCGGAAGTCGGTGACTGATGCTTGAGGTTACCACCGTTTCGGGAGGATCCGAAATGACGTGCTTAGGGCGACAATATGCATTCATCTATATATGTAAAATATGTGTGTGATGACCCTATAGAATACGAAGACAGGACCGAATTCGGGAAAATTTTCAGGAAATCTTCAGACTGAGCTAGCGGATGATCCTCGGTCGGATCAAAGGTCAGCCTAACTGGAACGCATGCGTGGTTCGCGGTAACAATTACAATTTATGATTGTATCAATACAGTTGAGGATTTGACCTCATGTTTCAATCTCTCTCTGCTTTAGTACTGCTTAGCGTTAGGTGGGTCGTGAGCTCGTCCGCTCGTCTAGCACACGACAAGCTAAGATCTATTATATCTCACCGTTAATTATGTAAATTTATAGTCTATGATTTTAACAGATGACGTTTGTTGTAAATCAATAGATCTGGATATAAAATATGGCGGCATTCACATCTTGATATCTATGGATTTCAGTAGCGCGTGAGTCTCACCTATCGATTGCGATATAAAAATTCAGTTTGAATATTGTTAATGTGTAGTAGATTTTTTTTTTGTTGCTTAGATGGGTGGACGAGCTCACAACCCACCTGGTGTTAAGTGGTTACTGGAGCCCATAGACATTTACAACGTAAATGCGCCACCCACCTTGAGACGTAAGTTCTAAGGTCTCAGTATAGTTACAACGGCTGCCCTACCCTTCAAACTGAAATGCCTTACTGCTTCATGGCAGAAATAGGCAGGGCGGTGGAACCTACCCGCGCGGACTCACAAGAGGTCCTACCACCAGTAGATGCATTGCTTATGTGTGTTATGACTATGTCAAATAGAATCACCTGTTGCATTTGGTTGTTATTGTCATTGTCGGAAGCGTGGCCGGAGGATAAACCGTCTTCGACCAATGGCAGTTTTGTCACGACACCGGCGCGACTGGCATCCATTTGTACTGAAAAAAAGCAGGAAGTCAATAATTTGTAAACACAAAAAAAAACTCTTTTGAAACTGTTCTAAATGATAAGCTAACTTGGCTTTAAAAAATAGCTTTAAGTAAGGATTTGAATTTATTTAACATAGCGGGCCGCTCCGGCTCCGCTCGGGTCTTTCTCGGTCGGCATAACTATAATAGTTAGATATATGCTATCGCGACAGTTTTTTGTGTATAATAATGTGTTTTGCAAGGTCGTAGTACGTTATTTTATTCTATCATCGATAGTTTTCGGAGCGCACACGTTGTAAAGAATATTTTACGTAATTTTTTTACACCTTGGGTTACATTATTGATGTTTTAGTTAGGATCCCTAATTTTTTTCAAAAAAGATTATAGCCTATGTCACTCGGGAATAGTGAAGCTTCCAAACAGTGAAAGAATTTTTCAAATCGGTTTAGTAGTTTCGGAGCCTATTCAGTACAAACAAACAAACAAATCTTTCCTCTTTATAATATTAGTATAGATTCAACAGTAATGTCGGAGGATAATTATTTTACGGTCTAGTCTCGCGTTTTATAATGTCATTGTATTATGTCCGGCTTCACACTTATACTTACAGTTTTTCGTGGTCACCGAACAATTAAATGTAAATCGTCAGCATTTGAATATCGGCATTGGAATTTTGTATAATTACCGTTTTTTTTTTGGTATATAAGTATGATGTACATATTTCAAAATATTCTTTTCATTTCACATACAACAAAAGAAGTATCTTGATTACGTAAAGCTAGTGACGTGCGTAGAAGTGGTTATGAGTCTACAGATTGCGCAAACCGAAGAAAATACTAATTTTAGAATTATTTATTATTGTTCATTTTATTGGGCGATAAGAGCCCGTAGGAATACCACTATCACACCATCAAAAGCACCAATGGTGGATCAGGAGTATCCGATAGGACGTAGACCATACGTATAAGCTAAGTAAAAATTTTTAAATCTATAAAACTAATTATCTACTGGCGATAAATTAGTTGCGTAAATAAAAGTATTACTGCTACTCTGAAACTTACCTTTCATTTCAGAAAGTTCATTTTCCATTATAGACATTCTCGTCTCCGAGTTCTGAGTTCGTATCCCGAGTCCTAACGAAACAAATAAAACACACATTAAGTTTGTTCGAATTAAAACTGTAACACAAATTGAAGACACGAGTGGATGAAGGGGTTAAGTACAATTTTTAAGATTTTTGTCTTTTTACATTGAATGAAGGTGTTACGTGCCTATAAACCATATTAGACCTTAAAAATCCGCGTTTAAAGGCTATTTTTAGAAATTGCATGAAGGAGTTATGTACGGATAAAAAGGGCAAGTAACAAAAGTTTGTTACCCGTTTTCTCAAAATTAACAAATTCTATCATATCCCCTTCATCCACTCATGTCTTCAATTAAGAGCTATTAGTTATTAATTATGCCTATTATTATTAATTATTAGCTATTAGTGGACGCCTGTGGGCTGATAAAGAAGAAAAGTTATTAAAATTCAACCCCTCAGCCCTATAGCAGAGTACAGGGTGTTACAAAACTACCCCGCAAAGCCGAAAGGAGCTTAAACGGGGCCTTATAACGAATCCATTTACAATATTTAAGAACTGTAGTAATGCTGTATAATATACGCCAAAACAATAAAAAAATATTATTATTTTTAAGAATGTGCAAATCCTATTTCAGTAAAATTTAAAGAGTAAACTACGCAGAATGTACCTACATTTCTATCCAATCCGCGGAACGACAAAAAATTTGACAAGTACGATAAGTACTTGAGTATAATGACATCCTCGTATTGAGGCAGCAAACATTTATGAATGAAAAATAGAAAAAAAACTATTAAAGTAGACAATTATTAAGTAAAATAGGTACGTAGTAGGCCTTTCTGTTAAATAATCTGGTTTCCGGTCATGACAGCTTACTAGGGTTG